AAACAATGAAGAAACAATGTGTTGTTGATGACCTAATTGCGTTGATTTATCACTACTGATTTGTTTTGCTGGTCGAAAATTTGATGGTAATTGTTGTTGTTGCCGTTGTTGTTGTTGCTGTTGTTGTTGTTGTTGTTGTTGTTGTTGTTGTTGTTGTTGTTGTTGTTGTTGTTGTTGTTGTTGTGGCAATGATATTGCTGTTGGAGTATCATCTGAAGAAGCATTTATGCTACTATTAATTCAAAATGTTGATAATTTAATTATCTTTTTCAATTTAAAGTTTCAATTTCAACTCTCAGATAATAGTGATTGAATAATAATTTTAATAACCAATTTTTTGATAGCAAATATAGCCTAATTTAAAAAAAAAATTGTGATTTTAAATACATGTTAATAATTTCGTAAAATCATTTATCATATAATCATCACATTTGAGCACTTATTGTTGAATCAATTCATTTTATCAATTCAATTCTTTAAATTATTCATATTAACAACAATTGACTGTTAGTTTTTCATAACTACCATACCATCAATAATGAACAAATTCTTTTTCAAATCAAAAAGCTAACCTATTAAAAAGTGAATTATTCATATCAGCAAATATTGATAATGTGATCATTAAATTTTTAAGCAGAAAAAAAAGATGAGCAAAATTATTACCGGATGAATGTCGATTACCTTGAGGTATTGCATAAGTTGCGCTTAATATTAGCAAGAAATGAAAGATTAAATATAACATTTTGCTGCAAACATTAATTATCAATTCGAATTGATAAATCAATTATATTTTGATTATCATCAGGCGCATTTATCATTATTCCATATACAAACATATTACTATGCATTAGCAATAACGATCATAGTAATAATAAAGCGCTATAATACCACCATGCATTGGTAATAATGATTAAGGTAATGGATAATGATAAGCGTTATCTCGCTATTGTGTATTACCGATAATAACTAAAGTAATAAAATAATAAAGAAAAATGATAAGTATTACCGTATTATCCGTTAATAATAATCAAAATGATCAACGACACCATACATACAATTAGTAATAACAATTAAAATGATGAGTGCATTAACAAAATTTCGTTTCATAAATATTTAATTAATTTCAACTTTGTAAATTTGAACAAATATTCAACATTGTAATTAAATGAATGAAGTAAAATAATCGAAATTACAATGAATGCAAGCGATGATAATAATATGATGCAAACAATGCTAAAGTTGAATTGGTATGTATGACTCGCAAATCAGACGACAGATACTATTATCAGACGACAGTTTATCGGCCTTTGACAACTAGAAGGTCATCAACACAACATACATATATCAGTAGTGATAGTAGTAGTAGTAGTAATAGTAGTAGTAGTAGTAGTAGTAGTAGTAGTACTAGTAGTACTAGCAGTAGTAGTAGTAATAGTAATAATAATAATAATAATAATAATAATAATAATAATAATAATAATAATAATAATAATAATAATAATAATAATAATAATAATAATAATAATAATAATAATAATAATAATAATAATAATAATAATAATAATAATAATAATAATAATAATAATAATAATAATAATAATAATAATAATAATAATAATAATAATAATAATAATAATAATAATAATAATAATAA